AACCTCAAACCATGAAGATTCTATGAAAATTCAAAGAACCTATTGCATAAAACGGCAATTTCATACTTTAACCCCTAATACACTGCCCCAAAGTAATCGTTGACACTATAAATCATTTGTATAACTAACAAACCTAATGAATTTATAAATAGGGGGAAATGAAAAATGCTTAGTGGTAAAATTTGCCCAATAAAATCCAAGTTTTTTTTATTAATACTGCAACTAGAATTGAACTAGAATTTTATAAATAATTTACGTACCTTAACATGACCATATTAAAGATTAAAAACAGAATGGATATATATGGTGCCAAGTGTCCGAACCACGCGAAAACTGCAAGTTGAGTCACTGAAACAAAAGAAAACAGTGCTTATAGTATACAATAACACAAGTATGGTAACTTTATACAAACGTAGCAGTGCGGCTTGCATGTGCGCATTCCCACCACGTGCTGTATACGGACACACACGGTCGCATCTCTCGCGGTGCACTCGCGTTGCATAGCCGACCCCTCAACGTGATTACGCTGTTGTTGCCGGTGCTAATCGTTTCACTGCTAGAACCATATTATAAGGAATAAGCTAGAACTTATATCTGAAGATGTGTCGTTAGTAATACCGAGACGAATTAAGGGCGGTTTCATAAAGATGGAAAAGAAAAATAATCACACAATAAGGTTAAATTCGATCCACCCATTTATTTCACTTTTGACAACTCGAATGCTAATCAATTAGTGATGTCCTAATGCGTTTCTGATTCGATTTTTTATAACATTCGATTTTATTTATGAAGAAGTTTTAATCGTGAATGGGAGAGGGTTCAAAAAAAAGATATTGTCTGATTGGGATCGTGATGATGCGTTTGACAATTTGTGTACTCGAGAATTAATAATTAATGTTAATGAAGATTCAAGTAATGATTCCCGTTCATATGGACAAGAAACCGACGATTCATTATAATAAACAATAAGAATTTATTATAATTATTTATAATTTATTTCTTTTTATTGTAATTTATAATTTATCAACTTGAATAACCCTCGTTTCATAATACGTTGGCTCGATAAATATCGGAGCTAAAGAGCACGTCGCTTCATTAAAATTAAAAAATAAAAGAGTCCAGGAAGAATTGCATTTATTTGTCTATGGTTGTATGTCAATAATTACGGAACTTCAGAGGCATATACATGTTTCAAAAGTTAAATAAATGGTTGGATGGAGTATAGTGGCACCACCCTGAGTGACCCTAATCATCTATTGCATCCAGGGGTACCAACGGCTTTATTATACGTGTCCAGTATTCATTACTCCACAAAGTCTACGGATATTGTGGAGAACAGTATCTGAGTGAAGGCCAATCTCATCCTGACGGTCGCTTATGGTCCCGCCACAATGTGAATTTCAATTAATTTGTGGTGAGAGTACCAACTGAATATCTGCCGACTTTCACGAAGGAGGAGTTTTGGCCAAGGGGTGTCATGTACCGATGTTTCCGAGGCCGGTTACCGGACACCCGCGTTGCGTCACACATCGCAGACAATAGGTGTAAATAATTAGTGTTTTTTTATTTTACTACGTATATTAGTCTATAAGGTATGTACTTAAATGTCTTTGTAACCTTACAATAAATAAATAAAAATAAATCGTCGCAATATCTTTGGAGAGGTCCTATGTTCAGCAGTGGCCGTGTTTCGGCCGAAATGATAACGATGATAAAAGAATAGGGATACATCAATTACGTACAAGTATAAAAATGTATCTTAATAAGGTTATAAATCTGTTTTTAATCATTCAAGTGAAATGCACAATAAATAAATAGGGAAAAAAAATATTTTATTATTTACGCTTCATTATTTCATAATTACTTACCTTTTTTAATTTTCAAGTTAGTGAAAAAATGTTCGTAAAATACGCAATACTATACTCTAGCCAAATTCGATGTAGAATGTTTAATAACAAAACGTTGCTAGGCAACCAATGATGGCATAGGAAAAGAAAATTTTTTTTTAATGCTCATTATTAAGGCTTGCTCTGCCCACGGCCTGCTCCCTTAATTGGAATTTAAATAGGTAAGTAAGTAATTTGGTTATGTAGAAGTAATACTTACCTAGACAATTATTATAAAATTTACAAAATACCTATTGATACGTATGATTTAGGAATAAAAATGAGTCTTTGCGTCCTATTAATATTTACTGCTAGATGGTAGTTAATGGTAGATGAAAAGAAACAAAATTGTAAGATTTTATTTGATATTAATTTACCACATTTAAAATCATCCAGCATCTATTTCCGATTCTGAACCTGAATTACCACTAGAACTCGAATGTTTGCAATCTCTCACTTCAAATCAAAAAGTCACTAGGGATGACACAGTTTTACAAATAATTAATTACTGGTCATTTTTAGGTGATTTGAAACTTCTGTTGAATAATATTCATTATAAACATGGCGTCAAGATTTAGTATTATCCACAATCTAGTTTAATTTCGTAGGAAATTATTGAAATTGTATAGTAACTGTGAAAGAGTCTGAGATGCAAACCCTAAAAATCATACGTTTTTGTTTGTTGACATTTATTCTACATCGAATTTGGCTAGAGTATAGGTAAGGCGGGCGGAAGTAACCATTTATGTCTTTTCAGCCTAATTACAACACTATTGTTAAAAAGTCTTCGTCACATAAAAATTAATAATGCAATTCACCAGACTTAGCCATTTTTATCCAACCATTACAATGAAAAAGGACCGCTCTGAATCTTAGCTGGTTCAAATGTCCCCATAACACTGGCAGCATTACCGCGCTGCGGCCAACGAAATTTGTTGCACCAAGTAAGATTCAGTGCGTGGATCACAGCCTCTATCTGTAAGGCGCTGCGCAGATGCGGCAACCTGCAACTAGATGTTTATAACGTTTTTCATATAATTTCAAGAAACCGCGCATACGTAGCTACTTCAGTTGGGAGTTTTCGCAATCAACCACAATTTTCGATTGACCAAGTGACTAAATAAATTCTTGATTGTCGCAACTAGAAACTTGCAAATTACCGGTTGTCTCTAGTTGCCAGTTTCCGCAACCGGCAACCCCAACTCGTGAAGTAACTTCACACCCTCCCCGTGACACACTGCGTCAGTGTTGACCGTGGATTTCGAAAATTTATTTAAAATTGTGATACTCCCTGATGTATTCATTGGCAACCGCACCCCAAGTCCCCGCAGTCTCCACTGCAATTGGCACAATATCGTGCATCAGTTCCATTTACAAAGTTATATGGGTGTTTAATTTACTTGAGTGATACGAGATCGTAGATGTGTGGTTAAAAATAAATGATGTATATATGCAATTACGCATTTTTACCAATTTGTTGTTTTGTAAACGCATCCATAAAGAACGGGCACGTTATGATGGCCGTTTTAACGTTTGCCCGCTCATCAAGTTTCGTATTAATTCATAACTACGTTGAAGGAGCTAATTGCTGTACATTGCTGTCTGTACATCGAATTTATTTTGTCAATGATCGAATGTATAATTTTACGACACAACTCGGTATTTGTTTTAAGATATTCGAAATTTAGAAGAATTAAATCTAAGGCTCAACTCATACTGGCGCCAGAGTTGGAGCGTCGCGAAGCGTCATGTTTTTCGCCTATAGCATATTCATCTTTATTTTCCCATTATTAAGGTATAAATTTGTGTTATGCAAATGCGTCGACGAACGACATCGGCGGAGAGGACGCACGCGACGGCTTTTCGCCGATCGCCTGCGTCCCATCAGCGGAGGCCAGCATGGTGCAGGGTTGGAAGACCCTGCCCCTGTATTGCACACGCCTCCGCCGCCGGTAGATGCCCCAAATGTTCCGGGGCATCTCCGTGCACGTCGCCCTCTATGATTAAACGGGGGGATGGTGTAGGGGTCCACCCAAAGGCGGACCGGCACCACCGGAGTCGCGGTAACATCGTGAGGTTTTTAGTGGGTACGCTCTTGGGGACCGACATAGTCCCCAGGAGAGAGTCCCACATATCCCCGCCGTTCCCGCCGAGTGGCGGGAAATGCGTAACGCATTTTCCTCACGGTAATGAAAAAAAGTTAGGTTAAGTTAAAAAGAAAAAACATTTTCCTCTCAAAATTTTCGAAAGTTTCGAGGTTATGAAAATTCGAGCAAACATTACTTCGGGAAAATATCATTTCAGACTACATTATAGGTAACACACGGCAGTACATGGCACGGTTTTTTTTAAAGTGTCTCATGCGCCCTTTCAACTAACGGCGTTAGTATCATAAGGTTGACTTAATTTTTAATTATATGTTGTTATAATTATTAATACAAAGATCGAACACTCAGAAAAAATTCCTTCGATCCGGTCGGATTCGAACCGACGTCTTGCATACCGTGCCAGACGCTATACCAACTAACCATAAATCTGTCATAGATTTCTCATAGATGGCGCTACGACTAAAAAGTCGTTGAAAGACCAAGTACAAAGACACGACGCAAGCACATAGAAAAATTCGTGAGGTCCGTTGGTTCGTTCCGTTGCTTAGTTGGTATAGCGTCTGGCACGGTATGCAAGAAGACGTCGGTTCGAATCCGACCGGATCGAAGGATTTTTTCTGAGTGTTGTTTCTGAGTGTTCGATCTTTGTATTAATAATTATAACAAACTAGTGGAGTAATTTCACAAAAAATAATTGAATATCAATTCAATAAAAATTTAATTTATATGTTGTTAGTTTAATAGGGATAGTGTTATACCATATTATTATAGTGGCAGGTAGACACTAAAAAAAGTTACAAGTTTATAAATAGAAATTTCCTCGAGGGCCATACCCTGAGGCCTGCCCAGAAGGCTGGCAACATTTCCTCTTTGGATTGCTAAACTTGTTCTTAGGCGGAAATAACTGCCAACCTTGTGGTCACCGGAGACTTCTACGAGGCGATCCGACAGCTTGTTCGCTACAAGTTTCGCCTGTGGCCCCCAGGGCCCCAGGGTTTCAATCGCAAAAGGCACAAAGTTGTAGCACTAATCAAGCTCTCACTAATCAAATTGTTATAGTTTTCATAATTACTTACTAATTTGGTTGGTCCACTTCAAAACATCTTCGTCAGTTAAGGGTTTTAATTTGAACTCCCTTTCCCATTCGGGTGCGTTGAATTCTTTCTCTCTGGCCAAGTTAAAGTCGGTTATAGTCCTGAACAAAATAAGTGATTCAAAATCACGCTAGCAAGTTTACATGTTATTATAAGGCTGGGTGAAATTACAGGCACAGGGTGACTCTTGAGTGTCAGTGCAACTGTTATGGACAGGCGTGTAGCTTACCATCAGGCGCACGACTTGTACGTCCCTTCACTTGATATTATGAAAAAAAAAATGTTCACATGGACGCACAGTTGTTTACAAGAAGTAGAGCTCCTTGTGAGAGTTTTCTCCTTGCCTGAGAATCGAACCCGGGACCTCTGCGGGGTGGTTCAGCATGGTAACCGTTCGGCCACAGAGGCAGTTACCGAGTGCAGAGAGAGAGAGAGACTGTACTTATTACCGCACACAAAAATGTCACCACTTTTATAATATAAAATAGATGTAAATATAAAATGATAGATTATATCTATTATAAATAATAGGTTCTATCATATAATATCTTTCTCTATTTAGTATTTAAAATACATATTGTACTACATGTTATATAAATTAAAATGGTAGGTATTAAGTGTATGACTTGTTGGTTGTCCTAAATAAATAAAATAAAATTTAATATAAAATGTTCAATGTACTTATACGGCGTGTCCCAAAATTCAACGATAAGCGGGCGCTGGAGGGTGGACCTGCGCATAACTACTTGAGGAAAAATAAGAAAAAAAATCTCATTTTTTTTTACAATTACGATAAAAAAATTGTTATTCTTCGAAAATTTACTCCCTTAATGATATTTTGAATCACCACGACCACATTTTTTCAGATATTTCTGATGTTTTAATTTTAACGGCCACCTAAGTACAACTGCTGTCTACCACAACTCTTAAAAACCCTAGAATGCCTGCAGTTTTACACAAAAATCCATCAAAATATTTTTTTTCCTTAAAATTTTGAAATATTTTTACCTTCAGTCGACTTTCACTCATCGTTTTGTAAAAAAAAAGTATGGACACCACTGCGGCAAGTTTTTTTAAAAATTGACGCAACTTACCAAGATTCCAAAATGGTATAATACTTTAATAAAACTAGGCGCCAAAAATATTGGTACCATTTCTAAGAAAGATTAAAATTCTTGATTATTGTTCTTATTCATAATAATCACTTTTACTATGTGCCGAAAAAAGGTTATGTGTTGCAATTTCTTGGAATTTCAATGGCACGTGTGCGTAGTCGATACAATTTAGAAATTAGAGAGAGAGAAAAATACCGAGAGATATACGTTAAAAAGAGATAGATAGATGTCCTTTGTTGAATAGCAATAACGCTGGTAGAGAAGTTCCGGTGCTCAGCAAGTCAGTACGCTCTGCTCCTTTGTTTACTGCGCACCTTTCTGTAATCAATTGACGTAGCTCTCGTACTAACGACTTTTGGCTTGGCTTATTGGACTGGATTTAAGTGATCTGCAAACTAAATTGACCTGGCATCACTTTGGACTGTGAATTGGAGTTTTGGCGTATTTTGAACTGATTATCGTTTATCATGCCGCTACCATACACACCGGTGGAATACGCTAACATGCACCTCATTTATGGAGAATGTCGGTGCAATGCTAACGCTGCCAGCAGATTGTATCGAGAAAGATACCCAAACACTGAAAGATACCCGGATTATCGAGTATTTTTGAATGTGCATCGAGCGTTTTCGGAGGGTCATTTTCCATCTGCCAGAAGAAACGCTGGAAGACCGAAATCGGAATGCGATGAAGAAGTTCTCAATGAAATAAACATTGATGCAACTACCTTAGTACGTGCCATAGAAGCAGCTACGGGAATCCCAAAAAGTACGGCACATCGAATTCTGAAACGTCACAAGCTCCACCCATATCACTATAGGCGAGTGCAGACGTTATTGCCTCGGGACTATCCACTACGGATCGCATTTTGCCGTGTGATGCTGCAAAAACACCGGGAAGATCCCCAGTTCCTAGACAAAGTTCTATGGTCGAACGAAACAACCTGCAAGAAAGATGGCTATTTAAATCTTCACAATTTACATAGTTGGAGCAATGAAAATCCGCACCTGATGAGACAAGACAAATCCCAATATCAATTCAAGGTTAACATATGGACAGGCATATTAAATGGAAAAGTGATTGGGCCCTTTGAGTTACAAGGAAACTTAGATGGTGATAGTTATTTGAACTTTTTACAAAATGATTTGCAATAATTATTAGAAGACATCCCCTTAAGTGATGTACAAAACATGTGGTTTCAAAATGATGGTTGCCCAGCTCACTACGCCCGTCCTGTGCGAGAATACTTAAACCAAGAATATCCTGGGCGTTGGATCGGGCGACTTGGTCCTATCTTATGGCCACCCCGTTCACCCGACCTAAACCCCCTGGATTTCTTCTATTGGGGTTGTCTCAAAGACAGGATTTACGCAAAACCCATCACAACATTGGACGAGCTTCGGCAAAATGTCAATCAAGCTGCGGCTCATATCAACGGTAGAAGATATGCACGACAGATAAAACGATCATTTTTAAGGCGATGTCGTGCATGTATTAATGCTGGTGGCAAACAATTTGAACATTTACTATAATGTTAATTTGGCAATAAATAAATTAAATGAAGAAATACCATTTGTTTTGATTTATTCAACATTTTTCAGCAACAAAAACCTAATTTCGGCACATAGTGAAAGTGATTATTATGAATAAGAACAATAATCAAGAAATTTAGTCTTTCTTAGAAATGGTACCAATATTTTTTTGCGCCTAGTTCTCTTAAAGTATTATACCATTTTGGAATCTTGGTTAGTTGCGTCAATTTTTAAAAATACTTGCCGCAGTGCTGTCCGTACTTTTTTTTTACAAAACGATGAGTGAAAGAGTCGACTGCAGGTAAAAATATTTCAAAGTTTTAAGGGAAAAAAATATTTTGATGGATTTTTTTGTAAAATTGCAGGCATTCTGGGAATTTTAAGAGTTGTGGTAGACAGCAGTACTACTTAGGTGGCCGTTAAAATAAAAACATCAGAAATATCTGAAAAATTGTGGTCGTGGTGATTTAAAATATCATTAAGGGAGTAAATTTTCGAAGAATAATAATTTTTTTATCGTAATTTAAAAAAAAAATGATATAAATTTTTTTTCTTATTTTTCCTCAAGTAGATATGCGCAGGTCCACCCTCCAGCGCCCGCTTATCGTTGAATTTTGGGACACGCTGTATAAGTAAATCATTGAACAAACTTGTTCCGTTCGTGGTACTAAAATAAATGGAAAATTGTTAGCCAGAAATTCTGAATTAAAAACATTTTTTTACCTGCAATTTCCAGAAAATCGTTAAGGATTTTTAATAATGCAGTAATTTTTATAAGTTATTATTAGTATTGCATGATTGACAATCGTGTTGTCAGTCGAACAAACGATTGTTGTGCGATTAACGATCCGTATGCGATTTTAACGCCCTGTAACTGTGGACACTTTTTAGCGCGAACGCGATGTCCATTTGTTGGTGGGTCAATGTATTTAATATTTAATTACTGAGTAATTAAATGTTTTTCTGTTTTTCCCCACACCACAGAATGGAACAGCACGCCATTGTTAGAGATATTATATTTATTACAATAAATAAAGAATATTTTTGGAATTTACGGATACGTAAACACAGGTCTGTTGTTGGCGCTGTCTATATTTCAGTGCAAACGAGAGTTGATATATATAAGTATGTATCACTGATGAGTTACCACGAATGTATGACCCTTATTTCGTCTCTATTTCTGGTTATATACTCGATGTGGGCAGTATAAGTATACTGTGCATAGGTTACTACTGAAGTAGCTCGAATTATGCGTCATGGACCGATGGTAAGTATGGAAGTATTACTTACCAGCGGTCGAGCACTTAGAAAAAAAATCTTCGATCCAGCTGTCTTCGAACCAATGTCTTCCTGCCAACCGTCTCAGGCTACGAAATGCAGAAATAGATTTCTCACAGATGGCGCTACAGCAAAAAGTTGCAACAAGCACAGAAATATTCGTAAGGACCGCTGGTTCGTTCTGTGGCTTAGTTGCCACGGTTTGCTGGAAGACGTTGATTCGAATCCAGCCGGATCGAATATTAAGTGTTGTGATCTTTCTATTAATAATTACAACAAAAGGTTTTTGGCGCGCGCGCTCTGTAAAGGCAGTCACGTATTTACCCTCTCCGTGTTCTTAAAATTGATAAATGCATAAAAATCAAAAGTTTACAGTAACACTATATACTACAGTGTAGGTACTGAGTTAAGCAAGGCAGTGGTGAAAACAGTTCTTCAAAAAAAGCAGCAGTTTTCGAGATATAAGCAAAAATATTTCAAAACATCAATAAAAGGTCAAATTTCGCCACCGCTCACCACATCGCTGCTAATGACCACTGGTGAGTCATCTCCATTGTCAAACCGGCGACACCGCTGTCTGCGGCCTATAGTTACAAGAGCAAAGCGGACATTTCTTACGCGAGAAAAAGGGACATTACAGTTAAGAATTTAATTATATTTTTTTGAGAGATTGTTAATCGGAATAGAACTACAGTTTCAACATGTCGGAGTTGCAATGTGCTGGTTGTTTGAAAAATATACCAAACCGAGAATACCTAATCTGCTCTCAGTGCAACGACAAATACGACTTGGAATGTGCAAATGTATCTACCCAAAGATTTTATAACACAATGTCCACAGACCATAAGAAGTCTTGGATTTGTCAATCTTGTCAATGCAAAAAGCCAAAAACAGACAATAGAAACACTCCAATTCGCCATCAATGGCTTCCGGAACCACAAGATCATCCTGATGTTAACAACGTCACTATGCGGAAGCGCATGGATACTTCTATTAGTTCTGTTGACACAAGTATTTTGGGAGATACGATGAGTCTAACCGCCTCTCCAAAAGCTAACACATCAACTGAGTTAACCCTTCACAACCTAAGCCAGATTATTGCAGACAGGTTGAAAGAAAATAATTTATCAATTATAACCCAAATCCAAACCACCATCCAAACAGAAATAAACAGAGCCATCACACAACTAAAACTAGATATAAAACTCGATCTCGACCATCTGAAAAAAGAAAACTCGGTACGGGTAATGGAAATAAATAAACTTACCCAAAAAATAGAAATAATGAAAAGTGAAAATGAAAACCTAAAAAAACAAATTACCGAACTAGGAAACACCGGCATAAAACCTTACGAAGGGGGTAATAAGGAAGAAGAGTTTAAAAAATCATTCGTGGTATATGGAGTTGAAGATATTTATAAGGAACCTGAACGCGCTCTTGAATCAAGGTTAATTAGGATATTCTTCGACGTGCTTAAAGTTGACCTTACGGGGTATGTTGAAGAGACACGCAGAATTGGAAAATATCAAAACAAAAATAGGCCTTTGATAGTAGAACTAATTAGTAATTAGTATAATAAGTAACGAATGCTTAAATACCTCTTAGAAAATTACCACTACTTTCAGGGTACAGGCATCGCTATAGCTCCTATGCTAACCGAAAAAAAGCGTACAGAAAGAAAGCTCTTGCGCGAAGAGATGTTAGCTGCTAGGAAGGAAGGGCTCCACGCTGTAATCCAGGAGAATCAACTGTACATTCAAGGGCAAAGAGTAAATTTTAAAAATACTACAGTTTCAAAAACAGAGGAGACTGAAACGGAAAACAAACTTTACAAGAAACCAACACACCTTCTTGAAATGAAAAATAAAGCCTTGCGAAACTACAATAAATCATATCAAGATGAAACCCCGATCCCACAAAGTTCATCGAATACTGCAACCATTTCACACCGACAATCCTTTCGGAACTCACTGCAAGCAATTCATAACTCAGCCACAGACAAAGACAAATGCTTTCGGAACAGAGAAAATGACATTCCAAATAATGTTTCAAAACCTCCAAAGTCTCTTTAACAAACAACATATATTAGAAGCATTCATAGACTCAGATCCTACTTACCAAGCCTTTTGTATATCTGAAACTTGGCTAACTTCAAATAAATTAGAACTGATTCAAATTAGCGGGTATAAAATCGCAGCTTCTTACTGCCGAAGAACCAGATGTGGTGGTGGAGTCTGCATACTGTTGCAAGAAAATATTGACTGTGTCAACCGAACTGAGATAGCAGATATGTCTATGGAATATGTGTTAGAGGTGTGCGCGACGGAACTGCCAAAGATAAATATTTTGTTAATTGTTATGTATTGGAATAGGAGAGATGAAGAGTTATTCCACCTACAAATACAAAAAATACTAAATTATGTAAATAAAAAATTCTCTAAATATAAAATTATCCTAGGTGGAGATTTTAATATAAATATTTTTTAAAAATACTCTCAAAACAAACAAATTTTTAGATGCGATGTTTGAATATAATCTAACTCAATGCATTAAAGACCCTACTCATATAACACCCACGTCATCAACATGCTTAGATCTTATATTCACTAACCTAGATAAACAACAACATATTACAAGAGTTAAAGAATTCGGTTTTTCCGATCACGCCGCAACAATACTTACCCTTGAGTCAAATCCATTCGATAGCTTAGTAACCTGGAAAACTGAAAAAAGATTTTACAACACCTCTAATATACAGAAATTTAAGTCAAATTTAAAAAGCATACAGTGGCAAAGTATACTATCATATGATAAAAATATCAACGATAATTATGAAATATTCCATAAAATTATGTTAGATAATTTAAATAAATGTATACCAAAACAAAAAATTAAGTTAAAAACTAACTATAAAAAATATTGGCTGACGACTGGTATAAAAATATCATCCCAAAATAAACGATTGTTGAAAATACTTACATTAAAGAATAAAAATCCGATTCTACTAGAACACTATAAAAAATACGAAAAATTGTTGAAAAAAGTGGTTAACATATCTAAAAAGAAACACTATATAAATAAACTTAAAATGTCATCGAATAAATATAAAACAATGTGGAGCATAATAAAAGAACGGACAAACCAAAATAACAAAAAAGGAAAAAATAACATAAAGCTAGTAGTTAATAATACTACAATAGAAAAACCATTGCAAATTGCAAACACATTTAATAGATATTTTTCATCCATTGGCGAGAACCCATCACCTACAGCTGTCGGTCATCCTGTTCTCTCTCCCTCGGAAAATACGATGTTTCTTTGGCCAGTTGACAGCAAGGAAATTAACAGAACCATAAAACTATTGAAAAATAAAAGCAGTTACGGTATAGACGAACTCACCCCTAGCTTAATTAAACAATGTATTACTGAACTCAATTTGCCTCTTAGCTTACTTATAAATCAATCCTTTCAAGAAGGATGTTTTCCTGATCAATTAAAAGTCTCCATAATAAAACCATTACATAAAAAAAATAAGAAATCTGATCCAAATAACTATCGTCCGATAGCTCTCTTATCATCCATTTCAAAAGTATTTGAAAAAATCATGTGTAATCGCATCTATAATTTTTGTGAAAAGTACCAAATATTCGATGATTGCCAGAACGGCTTTCGTAAAAAGCGATCAACCGTATTGGCAGTCTTCAAATACATCCAGGAAGTCTTGAATATAGTTAATAATAAAGAATATGCAATTGGTGTCCTATTAGTCATGACAAAAGCATATGATAAGGTACAATTTAATATCTTACTTAAAAAAATTTATGGCATTGGTATCCGAGGTAAAACATACGATTGGCTCGCGTCGTATTTAAAAAATCGAAAACAATTTGTTGACATTGAATATTACGACCATGATTCAAGACAAGTGCAAATAGTAAGATCGGAAGAAAAAATCATAAACGCGTCCATTCCCCAGGGCAGTGTCCTTGGTTGCTTATTATTTCTTATTTACATAAACGACCTCCCTAAGATCATGCAAGAACCATGTGTTCTGTTCGCAGATGATATCTCCCTTCTGACCTCGTGTAATAAAAAAAATACAAATATCCATTCTAATCTATCCTTAATGTTAAACAAAACGATAAACTGGATGAAAGATCATAATCTTGAAATTAACGTCACTAAAACTAAAATCATCACCTTCCACCCATATCAAAAAGCCCCCTTAGATATTACTTTCAAATGCAACGACATACAATTAGAAACCGTCAATCAAATCACGCTCCTGGGAATTGAAATAGATACTAACTTAAATTGGAAACCACACATACAAAAAATTAAAACTAGGCTATCTTCCTTTGCTTACGCACTTCGTGAGGTCAAAAAAACCACTGACATAGATGCGGCCCTTGCTGCTTATTACGCATACGCACACTCGTCGCTCAGCTATGGGATCATCATGTGGGGAAACAGCACAGACGCCCCCAACCTCTTCATTATGCAAAAAAAAACTAATCCGTATAATATTTAACATTGAAAGTACTGAAAGTTGTAAACCCCTTTTCGAAAAATATAAAATACTAACTTTGCCCTGTATATATCTTCTGGAAATATGTGAGTTTGTCAAAAATTACCCCGAATTCTACAAAAAAAAAGGTGATTTAAACTTAAAATACTCACTACGAAATAAAAACAAATTAATACTTCCTACTTCTAATCTCAAACTACACGCATCAGGCCCTTTAGTAATGTCCATAAAAATATATAACAAATTGCCAGACTCGATAAAAAACACAACCACAGCAAAGTCATTTGTAAACCAACTGAAACGATTATTAAATAACAAAAACTATTACTCGCTACAAGAATTCTTAGATGATAAACTTAAATAATAAAAAAAGTCTCACCATAAACAAAAATACATAATGAGACTCAATACATGAAAAATAATATTAAATAAACTTAAATACGACTCTTCCACTCTCCTATCTTGCCGTGCCCGACAGGGTCCATAATTTGTACTTATCTATGTTTTAACATCTTCTGTAACTTATGGTGTGCAATAAAGAATATGAATATGAATATGAAATATGAACAAACTAGTGGAGTAATTAAAAAAAAAAATTGAATATCATTGTGATCAAACGTCGTGACAATCAATGAACTTAAAAATTACTTACCAGGTAAACATATTGGGGAAAAATCTAAAAACAGATTTTAAAGACTGAACTATCAACACATAGATGGATAGTAAAACAAATGTGAACACCATCTCATCAATGCAGTTAATGGTTTTGTTGCAATGAAAGTACATTAAGTGGCCCAGGAATGGCATGCTGATGTTGGCGTGAAAGAAGGGTGTAGTAATGTTAACAACCGTGTTCCAATGTTCTAGTGGATGCGTGAAAAAACGGCCCTGAAAATAAATACAATAACGCACTAGAAATTATATATTGTCGTAACTCAAAACTTAAGCGATAAAGAAATGTACATAATATTTATTTATCCATTTGTAAACAGCAATTTTTTTGAATTTTCAAATCGAGTTTTGGCAATTTCACAATTTTGAGTGACGACAGTCATTGGTTTATATATAATAATAATAATAATTATTATTGTAAGACATTTATTCATAAGCACATTTACAATAAAAAGGTTAACAGTTAACGGTTTCGGAAATGTGGACTCTAATGCCAATGAAAAGGATGGAGCCTCAGCACTACCTGCTGCTTTTCAGGTTCCACTTTCAGACATGGACATCCGATGCTAAAAATTGTCAAACTTCACAAGAATTACGTTTTAAATTTGTAGGACATGCTTAAAATTAATTTATTATTTCGATGAGCACACGAGTATATGTATACTACATGTAAAAGAGCATTAAATACTGGATACAAACGGTACTGGAACAGGTTTCAACTTCTTACATACTTTTAAACTTACTTAATTGACAAATGAACTAAAAAGAAACTTAAAACAAAGAAACGAAAAAGGCCTATATAGTAAGGCCTGCTAACTATACTCCGCCCAACCATTTTTTTTTTCTTCTTTCCATAAAGGAAAAGGCAAAGGTTTTACACCATACAGCCAAGTCTTGGTACATTATTTCTGAGCCATGTCTTCGTTTAATTGTTTCTGTAAATATGGCCGCCACAAAGAGGATAGGCAATTTGAGGCGGCGTGTTTGGATTGACTCGGGATTCCTTAGAACGGGCCGATACGGGTATTTTAGTTCGAGATTCGTATAATTTCACGTTTTAATCTTCGATTAAGGCACAATAGCACTATCCTAATCCACTTTAAACTAGATTTCACAAAATAATTGAAAGTCAAAATAAAAACGACACTTTTCCCTCCAAAGCGTCCAGAGCGAACTCTCCCAACCATTTATTCAACTTTTGACACCTTGAATGCTAATCAATTACTGATGTCCTAATGCGTTTCCGATTGTATTTTTAATAACAATCGATTTTATTTATGAAGAAGTTTTAATCAAGAATGGGAGAGGGTTCAAAAAAGAAGATATTGTCTGATTGATTACTCAAGAATTAATAATTAATGTTAATGAAGATTCAAGTGATGATTCCCGTTCATATGGACAAGAATCCGACGATTAATTATAATAATAAATAAGTTTTTACCTAATTATTTATAATTTATCAAATTTCATTGTAATTTATTACACAGGTACCAACATTTGTCAACTTGAATAATCTTCGTTACATAATCTGCTGACTCGATAAATATCGGAGCTAAAGTGCACGTCGCTTCACTAAAATTTAAAAATAAGAGTCCAGGAAGTATGGCATTATTTTGTCTATGGTTGTTGTCTATGGTTGTTATGACGTCAAAAGTTAAATCAATGGTTGGACGGAGTATAACAGTATACCTACTTCTTAACGAGAAAAAACAAATTGTGTGAAATTTACATTACCCAATGTTAGAGAGATGGTTACAAACATTGTAGTTAGAAAGGAAAAATTGAATCTTATGGGTACACTTGTATTTCTAGGTATAACGTTAGATGCTAAATTGCAATGGGGTCCCCATATAACAAATCATTTAAGGGGCAATGCATACGCTTCTATAACAAGATTCCGGTTTATATACAAAATTTGCCTTTCACGAGGTTTAAAACTATAGTGAAACAAAAACTTTATACTAAAGGTTATTATATAACTTCTGCGTACTTGGATGACAAAAATCCGTGGTAGTAACCCGTTTAGTTCATGGAGGTAGTCTCGATCTCTGATGTTTCAAATAAAAAAAAATATTGTAAATGTTATTTACAAAGAGCAACCCCTAGAGTTTCTTGCTCATTCTTCTCAGGGGAATCTGCCTTACGAATGAGCGGTAGAGTTTAACCATTGTGACGATTTCAAGTGTAATAATGCTTACCTATGAAATAAAGATTATTTTGAATTTGACATACTATTTTGAAAATTTGTTACATGGATATACACTATGTAACAAATTTTCAAAAAGGTATTGATGTCCGTTATTATCTTGTTTATTTTTGCCGCCAAGCAGAAATGTGAGCTTAGAGAAATTACAGGCACGCGGGACTTGTTCGTGCCGTCCGTTGGATTCATCCGCTAAGTTGCCATCCCCTCTCCAACAAAAACAGAAAGGAGCTGTTCTGTTTTGACGGTATTGGTTTCTGTTAATTGAATATCAAGTATGTAGAAAAGAAAAGCTATACCCTCAGTAGTATTGGCTAGGACATGAAATTAAAATGAGTTTGAGGGAATACCTCACTTGAAAAAATGAGACGGTACATTATGTCCTACTTCAAATGAGGTGAGGTAGTGGTAAGAATGTTTGCACCTACGGGAACGACTCAACAGACAGAGAATATTAAGCACATTTTCATAACTTGATGGTATCAATCAATTGGATAACTTAAGTGTTATGTTATGTTATATATATAGTATAAATAAATGGTAATTTTATTTAGTACTATGGTAGTATGATCATGTGATGTAAAATCAGGTGAAAAGCAGGCAGTGCAGGACCAATCATTGTCGCATTTGTTGAATTCGAAGGAGTGTGACTTGAGGCTATGACATGAGGTGAGGTGCGAGATGGGCCATTTTAAAGATATGAGGTATTGTAACAAACTAATCAAGCGAGCGATACAAACGAGTTGCTTCGTGTAGGAGTAACTCAACACTAACTCACAGAACATAAAGTAGTTCTAAGTTTGCGTGACACGTATGCCTTCAGTATGCGAAGTTATAATAGTTGAAAAGGCTATAAACCACTAACGTGTCATGACCAGGATCACGGCAATAGAAAAGGATACTTCGGTCTACAAAAATGTATTTGATAGTTCGAAGGAAAACAAAGGAAAGGTCCTTTTTCTTTTTTTTTTTGGTCCAAGTTTGGACCTTCCCAAAAGGTCCGAGTTATACAGAATTACAGATTGGTATTAACATTAAAATTGGCACATGATTTAGGCAGAGAACAGATAAAAGTATCAAAATTAGATGCAATTAAGAATTACAGCTGAACTGCTCGCTACCGCGATGAGTAGGGAATGACGACGGAACGAAACAAAAAGAGAATGGCGAGGGAAAGGAATTAAGAACGATTTCAAATTTGAAAACAAGTGGCCAGGAACCAGAGAAAAGGTGTTAAAAAGGTGGAATGACGATGCAAAGAAAGTGTAAGTGTTGAATATAAATACAATATAAATACAATATAAATATAATATAAATACAATATAAATATAATATAAATACAATATTATAAACTTGAAACTAAAATACAGGACTTACAACAAAAGTTAAAACATAATTATAATGATTACAAAAAATAAAAAAATTAAAAGTGTAATAATAAATGCGTGTCGCGGCGCACGCAAACGGGATTTGCTCAGCTATTAGCTACAGGCTCATAGATTTCAGCTTGCAGCGCTGGTTTTCAGCAAAGCTCGATATGAGTGAAGCACGGACTCGAGCACAAACAAAACAAATACATACATAACAATGTGCGTGAAACTTGATATATACTAAAATATTTACACTAAATATATAATACGAATACATGGATAAGTGTGAACTAATTTAATTACTTCATTAATAGATATATACATATGTTATATGAAGATGTAATTAATATATCGTCTGCAGTAAGTAATAAATAATGTGTGAGAAATAAATCAACATTTCGAACTTCCATGTATTGCTCGCTCCATGGCTCGTTGAGTGAGATTTTTTATGAGGCCCATAGTAAGTGACCACGTACCTATCAGAGCCGTAGGTCATCGCAGACTCTTGTCTTCTCGAAGACTTTTGTCTCCAAGAACTGCGCTATTGCGGACCAGAAGACGTCTCGGAGCTCCCCGAAAGCTGCCCAACCGAGTCGTATTCGACGATTGACTCTCCAGCCTAAGAATACTCAATAACAATTGAGTCGTGTTCAATGTGCGATCGGAAACGGACGCGCTGCACTACTTTGCGAGAATTATTTTAATTCGCGATTTTGCGCGGCTTAGGCTGCTGCATGTACGTAAGTGACAATGGGTTCCCAACAACTCATTGTCAATGAGTTTCTGGCATTCGTGCAGAATGCCATCGACACAATGGATGAAGTCAGCATCGAGCAGATCTGCAAATCTAATTTCAACGAAGATGAGATTTGCAGTGGCAAGATGCTGCTGTTCCAGAGCTGCGGCAAAGCGCAGCAGATGCCATCTCGTCGGAGGGATGGGGGCTTGAAGAGTGTTCAGGATGTTACTGCATTCTTGAAGAATACCGATCCGGACGACGTGCCTACTTTCGTGGCGAAGGAGCTGCACAAGTTGCCTCCGGTCACCTTTGACCACGTCGACGTCACCAGGCTGTTAAAGGACATCACGTCCTTGAAGTCGAGTTTGGCTGAAGTTCAGTCAAAATTGGAGGCGTCGGATAACTCCATAAGTGAGCTACGTGCCGAAGTTGCGTTGTTACGCAACCCCGCTTCGGTATGTAGGTCACCGACAGTCTCCTACGTCAACACGCGTCGCGGGGCGCGAAAAGCATCCGTCGGCAGTATTGAGTCGGCTCGTATGTCGCCGGTCATTGCTGTTGTCAATGCACCGTGCCCCCCTGCCCGCCCCTCCGCCTCGGAGGTTACGTCACCCGTATGCACGTCATCGCCCGGGCGTGCATACGCCGCTGTTGCCGCGACTATTAGCAGCAAAGCAAACTGCAAAGGGCGATAGTAAACCCCGAATGCCTGTCTCTGGAATCGCAGGTGCCAAATCTCAGAGGCAGACCGACAGGTGCGACGAGGACGGCTTCACAAAGGTGGAGAAGAGAAGAAAGAAACCCACCAGCCGAAATCTATGTGGCACAGCTCCAACGGGACAGAACTTCTTGCTTCGTGCGGCCATACCGACGACGCAGATGTACCTGTTTCGACTGCATTACTCCACGAAGTCTGAGGATATAGTGGAGTATATCCGGTTGAAAGCCCAATTCACCCTGAGGGTCGAACGTTTGGAGTCTCGCCACAACGTTAACTTTAATTCGTTTGTGGTGAGGGTCCCAACGGTCCATCTGTCGACCTTCATGCAGGTAGAGTTTTGGCCGAAGGGTGTCATGTTCCGGCGGTTCAGAGGAACGATACATGACACTTGTTTGCGTCTCACGTCGCCGAATAGTAATTCGTGTAAATAGTTAATAAGTTTATATTATTTTATATGTATGTTAGTTTGTAAGGTATTTGTTATATGGGCCTTAGTTGCCTGAAATAAATGAATAAATAAATAAATAAATAAAAAATAAATAACGAGGCTTGGTAATGTTGTTTTCCAGTTACAGGTGCAAGCATTACAGACGTTCACACAGCTATCGGTGCTGAGATCTGCTGTAAAGCGTCGCGCCGGGCCTACTAAAAGTCAGTGAGTACAAGATTTTATTCATTTATATATCCTTTTTGTTTAATTAACAGATTCTGAATTAACAGAATCTGCATAACATGTGCGTGAGACTTGGTATATATAAAAATATTTACACTAGATATATAAAACGAATACATAGATAAATAAAACAGTATAAGTGTAAACTAATTTAATCTTAATTAATAGGTATGTACATATGTTATATGAAGATGTAATTAATATTCTGTGCAGTAAGTAATAAATAATGTGTGAGAAATAAATAAACATTTCGAACCAAGAAAATAACAATAACAGTGACTCAATCTTATGAAGGGTTCAATGATAAAACGGAAAGTTTGCAAAACCTTGCACTTGGACGATTGACCTACGCTTCGAGTCTGGAACCAGTGAGGTAAGCTATTATTATCAGAGTATGCTCTTTTGGTTATCCAAAACGTATACCTTGTACTTAAATCTAAAGGTGTTACTACATTTTTTTTATTAGCACTTATAAATACACAAAGTCAAGTAATCATTTATTCCATTTAAAAGGTAAAAATGTTGGTAACATTTTTAACGTCATTTTTGGGCTACTGCTCGTCCACTACGCTGACCTCCCTGAGAAGAACGAGCACGAAACTTTGGGGATTGCTCTTTTCAAATAAACTTAAATGTTATGGAATACACTTTGAATCATAATTGTGTGGAATCTAGACTCATGTTGTCTTTCAATACTTCTTATCTAAAACATACTCTTCAATTTTGTAATATGACTTTTCAATTAAAATACTTTTAATTGAAAAGTCTGTAAAAGAATGTAAGTTTTCAACTTAGGAAATGATAATAAAAACGTATGCAGTTCCCCATAATAAAATCGTTTACCTTGGTAAAGCGAAATCGTGGTACCATGAGTTTGGACTTAGTTCTAAGGTTAATATTATGAATATCTTCTTTCTTAATGAAATTATGTATATTTTACGGGCATACAAAACATTTGAGTAAATGTACACATAATGTGATCATACCTTAATCCAGCTCACGAAAATCATACAGGGAAAGGTGTAGATTAGACTAACTGCGAAATATCTATAGGTTAGAGATCGCTCATAATTCTTCACTAGTCTATGGTTCTCCCATCTTGTCATAATAGGGCTCAGTTTCAAAAAAACCTGAAAAAAAAAACTTTTTTCATAAAAAAAACCGACCCCAAAAGTTCTTGGAATTACATTCAATTGCCAAGTTTTATTGAAATCGGTTACCGGAAAGTACGCGAAATCGGATTCATCCCCTTAGTTTGCCACCCTTAGACGTATATTCTTCAAATTTATATGGAACCAATTTCCAACAGAAAGGAAATCACCAAAATCGGTTCACTGATACCGGAGTAATTGCATAACTTACTTACATAAAAAAGAATATTGACGAATTGATAACCTCCTCCTGTTTTTGAATTGAGACGAGGTAAAAAATTAAAGGCGTGTATTGTAATCATGTTCTTTAGGCAGCTGTGGTAGTATAACAGTTTGCCCTACCGTCTCTCAATCAGACGCCGTGGGTTTTAATCCGGCCTCGTACCTGAATGTCTAAGAATTTATTATCTTTGCGGTGAAAGAGAACACTGTAATGAAAACTCACGTCGAAGAAGGTTCACAATCCAGAACGTGTTATGTTAGGGGAATCTACAAGTTCTCCAGAACGTTCCCCAATCCCCATTGAGCCAGGGTTTAGGCTAAACCCCCGCCTGAGAGGAGACCCGTGCCTACCAGTGGGATGTATAAATGGATTGCTGCTGAATGACGACCACGATATGTTTTCTCTTTGCTGGAGTATCAAACAACTCTATAGGTTGCCAATCTGATGTCAAATTCTTGCGAAAAAAAGACAAATATGTTGATACCAGAGATGGATAGTGGGTTAAAACCGAATCAACCCGCCCGGGTTTAAACTGAGTTTTTACCAAAAGTACTGGTTCATATCCACTTCCGCCCAAAATTGGGGGCGGAAGCAATAACCATTAGGTAAATAATATAATTCCTTATCACCAAATGACAATTGAAGTTTCTGACAACTCTCTTGTTGACTTAAGCCACTCGAAAATCATTTAAAATCATGGATCAAAAATTTTCACGATTGAAATTCATTGTAATATCGAGTCACAGTTTTCAAAACGTCACCACAACGAAAAAGCAAATGAGAGTCTCATAAAGTAAAAAGCATCGAGTATGTAACCAGAAACAGACACGAAGTAAGGGCCATCTATCCCTGGCAACTAATCAGGCAAATGGACCTTATATCACTTTTAAATATCAATTCTCGTTTGTGCTGAAATCACAAACCAGAAAGCTGAAATAGTACAGCGCCCTTATTACAACTGACCTGTGTGTACGTCTCCGTACATTCCAAAAATATTCTGTATTTATTGTACTGAAGATTTCTAACAATGGGGGGTTGTTCCATTCGGTGGTGCGGGAAAACAGCAAAACATCTTTATAAAACATTTCATTGGTAATGAAATATTAAATACGTAATTTTTCAATTTTCGTCTATTATAGCAAAGCTGATCGACAAATTAAACTAGTTGATTTGAAGTGAAACAATTGACGACACCCGTCAATTGTTTCGAATTCGGGCTGGCCAAGCGCAGTTGTCACAGTAATGATTTGGCAGAATAGTTTTCAAACAAATTACATGACGTTTCGTCTCTGTTTCTGGTTACATACTCGTAACCTACTAACACAGAGTTCCTTTTTCAAATTCCGTATTTGTTTTTTTTTAGTTTCTTTTACAAGTGGCTAGTTTCAGGAACTTTCAGCACGCTTCCAGTGTTCCCCACGTAAATGCGCAGGGTCACCTGCGCATTTGCGCGTCAGCACGTCGTCTCGTTGCGTATATAATACTACGTGTGCATAGGTTCTTAGTGGTTACATGAATGAATGTCATCACCGCTATTCCACTAGATTTTAACCGAATAACTTTTATCATAATTACAATATGACCTCAGTGGATTCTTAATGGAATTACATTGACGAGTGATTTCAAGAAAATTTGCAGACTTAGAGCCTTGTTTCAATTTGAAAGTGTTTGTTTATAAGCATTGACTTACAAATAAATGGACGACGGGTCTAATACAAAAACCACGAAAAAAATGTCCCAAGTCAACCTATTCGAAATTTAAATTGTTATGTCATCGCAGTATCGCGCTGTCCGTAGAACAAATGAAGACTAAAGCGGAGTGTCGCGCTCTGTATACGATTTTAGCGCCTTACAAGTGCGGACACTTTTTAGCGCGGACCCGACGTCCATATAATTGTAAGTCAATGTTTATTAGAGTAATACATACCGCTTCAATGAGAGAACAAAATACAAAATGTATAGGTAATACAATGGCTAAAGCTATGTAGTCTCTGTATTTGAGCATCTTTGTGTTATTCTTAACAATTCCGTGCATCAAAAATGAAGTATTTTTTAAAATTGAAATATTGTACGCATAAATGGTTATAGTCGCTAGAAATGGTATGGCAATCTGTAAGAAAAAAAAACGTAATAATTAGAATTTCTTCACTAGGCATTGCAGTGCCGGTTCCTACCGGTTAAAATATAGTTCTCGAATTGAATGGCACTTTCCGATCTACATATTTTTAAAATTTCAAGTTAAAACGTTCGATTAGGATTCAGATGCGATATCGCTATCCAATAGCGGTTGCGTAGTTAATCGGTGAAATAGATTAATAAAAATGAAAATCCTCTTATATACATTTTTAAGACTTTAAAGGCCTAAAATTTAGAAATGCACTAGTCTTACTTTAAAATAAATTAAATGAACAAAGTCCAGACTTTATTTAAAATAACAAGAGATTTCCATATTACGTTCTTGGTTTGTAAACAATAGGACGTTCGGTAGCTTTCATGCGATACCTGTGTTCTGAATAACGTTTGTAGACTTTCCCGGTCGAGAAGTTCGAGTGATCGTACGGGTGTGACGTCATTACGGTACCGTTTCGAATACGACAGTTCGATTCGGGTGTTGTGAATAAAAATTAAAAGAAATCTGTCGACAACTGAGTTATCGTAAGTTTCTGAATCGACCCCCTGGTTAGAGATTTGCAACACCCAGTACCTGTAAAAGTTGGTACCAAAAATTCCCGAGAAATTTCGGCTAATTTTGGTATTCAATACAAAAAGCCGTAAACACGCTTTTCTTTTAATTTAGGATCAAAACAATGAATCAACTAAACCACAGATGTTTTTGTAACCCAATGGTGCAGCCTCTCAGCCTAGTACTTTTGATTGGTACACAATCAAACTCCATAGGTGTAGTATTTGAAAAGGAAATATCTAAGTATAAAATTATGTACAAAGTTATGCAACACTAATAAGGACAACACTAGGTTAAGAAAAATAATATACGACAATTATTAATACAAAGATCGAACACTCAGAAAAAACACTCAGACAAAATTCCTTCGATCCGGTAGGATTCGAACCGACGTCTTCTTGCATACCGTGCCAGACGCTACTACCAACTAAGCCACGGAACGAACCCACGGACCTCACGAATTTTTCTATGTGCTTGCGTCGTGTCTTTGTACTTGGTCTTTCAACGACTTTTTAGTCATCTATGAGAAATTTATTACAGATTTATCACCCAATTAATACCTTTACAACTACCAGTCCTGGCGAGAGATGTCGCTATTCACTGTATTAATTAAATTTTTATTGAATTGATATTCAATTATTTTTTGTGAAATTACTCCACTAGTTTGTACCACTACGACTAAAAAGTCGTTGAAAGACCAAGTACAAAGACACGACGCAAGCACATAGAAAAATTCGTGAGGTCCGTTGGTTCGTTCCGTGGCTTAGTTGGTATAGCGTCTGCCACGGTATGCAAGAAGACGTGTCGGTTCGAATCCGACCGGATCGAAGGAATTTTTTCTGAGTGTTTTTTCTGAGTGTTCGATCTTTGTATTAATAATTATAACAAACCAGTGGAGTAATTTCACAAAAAATAATTGAATATCAATTCAATAAAAATTTAATTAATAATATATGACAGTTCACAAGAAATTAAATGAAAGAAAACGGGGCCGCGCCACAACGAAACCCGTGAAGTATAACAACGATTACATGAAAATTAAATTAAAAAAAAAAAATAAAATAAAAATTATTTATTAGACAACAAAATTGTGAAGGTACAATGGAAATTAAATTAAGTACACAAAATAAAAGAAACACAATTTGTTGCAGCGACTATCGTGTACAAATAAAAATGACACTTGAATCCTGCACTAGGCTAAGCCTGTCTCGCAGGTAATCAGACTTTCCCTGTTACCAATTTCACGAATAAAGTAGCACAAATCATGAACGGAATATAATAAAAGAGAGTATTAACCAATTGTTTGAAAATGTTTATATGTGTGTGCGTGTGTGTGTGTGTCTGTGTGCGTGTGTGTGTGTGTCTGTGTGCATGATTGTTGTGTACGATAGTGTGTGTGAGTGTGTCAGTGAGTAAGTATGTGTGAGTGTTAATAAAGTAAATGTAAGTGTGTGTAGCAGTCCGCTGCACGGGATCAATAAGGATCCAGGATTGTCGCTCAAGGTTCAGCAACAGCACTAACACACCATACTTAAAATATTGTCCATTTCAGAGTATGAAAGAGTTTCTAAGTAACGCCGGACTTTGTGCCTGAGCTCTGAGATCGAGCAGGACTTAATGCAACACAAAGAGTTTATTTTGTTGTAGATGTAGGGATGCAAAAATTTCGGAAACTTTCTGGCGAAGGTAGAATTTATAGTGGGGAGCGGTAGACCATAACGTCTTTTTTCAAGGGAACAACCATAATGTGGCGAAGAAATTACGCCTTTGTGTACGTGCACCATGACCCGGAGCAAGAAAAGGCCCCGAACCGAAAGGACCTCACTTTCCTTATACACAGAGGCAGTTGGATATCTAATAGGTTTATTCAACATAACTTTTAACACGGATCGTTGGGCCCTTTCAAGTATCATCATGTTGACCTTACCAGCACCACCCCACACAGTAATACAATAACTGATAACAGATTCGCAAAGCGTCACATATATCATCCTCAGAAGACCCAGTCCCGCTGACAAACGCAGATTCTTAAAGAGGTATATCAATTTGCGTAATCTTTTTGCAGTGACAATCAAGTGTTCTCCAAAAGTGAGCCTCTCGTCAATAAATACGCCAAGATATTTTACGCTATACGCCCTGGTAATGCTTTGACACTTGCAAGGACCTGAATGAATTGACTATGTTTTAGTTACTGTACAATAAGAGTCTTAATAATGTATACTTTAGTTTCTAGTTATATTCAACGGTATATTTACTTTATTATAGTTACTAGCTTAGAATAATAACGCATAGAAACCTAGTCCGCACACGATAAGTGAGGCAAATTGAAGCGTGTCAAATGGGCCTACACGAGCGGGCGAACCTTCAGTGCTCAAGGTCAACTTGCACCGCGAACAGCTCAAGAATTTTAGCTAAAAATGACGAAATGTGCGGTAAATGAGTGTAAAAATACGTCAGACAAACATAAAATAGATACTAACATCACATTCCACAAGGAAATAACGCGTTTCAACTTGTATTTTTATATAAATATTCACTAAAACCGAAAATTAACCTACTACTAAAACTAGCCTACATGATTTTTGCCTGACTTGTGACAGTTAGTTTGATATGAAACTATCATTCTATGCGTTATTATTCTAAGGTTAGTAGTATTATTTTTTAAACCATGTAGTGTCAAGCATAATTAAAGAAAGAAACATTTAAAAATAATTAATTATAGTAGTAGTGGTAAATCTAAAAAAGTACTTCAGTGTAAAGAGGAATCTTAAAATAAACAATAAGGCGATTAGCGGCCTCGCGCCACTCAAAGTACTCTCTTCGTAGTTGATCGCCGTAGTGATTGGACATGTAGCTGAAATCCTTCTTTGACAAGAATGGTTAATAATACAGAACTCATTCAGGACGCTGAAGTTATACTGTCGATTGTTTATGTTTACTCAAATAAAAAGACACCGAAGATAACATTCAATTTCATTACAAAGATTCAAGAAAATATGAAGATTAATTTTTCAACTACACACGAATGTCAACTGAATCCTTTGATTGTACGTTGGGGAACATCCGAACGACAATTACTGGAATAGACACAAATTGATTAAAAATCTGCGCGGTAGTGCGGAGCGCAGTGTGCCATATGAAGCGGTGTCAGTGTGTTCGACTTCGCGTGTTTTCCATACAAACTGAGGTACTACATTACAACGCTACAAAACGCAGCGCGGTGCAGTGTGTTAATCGTCTAAGCGTCTCGAAATTGTTACAGATAAAGATCTTTATTTTGAATAGAGTAACTTTTAGAACATGTAAGGTTTATATTATATAATCTCAGTACAGAGGACTAAAAAAAATCTACCTCAAAAGTACGTGAAATTACATAAAATTACCAAGTTCTATTGAAATCGGTTACCGGAAAGTGCGCTAACCCGGATTCATCCCCTAGTTCGCCACTATACGAGATTTGACATAGGAGATAATAAAAATCGGTTCTCACTACTCGAAAGTATATTAAGAGAGAAAAACGCATTGAATTGGAGAATAGCAAAATCAACCATTAAAATAATTGCTCCTTATAATAAAATTTTAAATTTAAAAAATTTTAAAAGGCGCTATTTATAAAAATTAATCTTCACGCGTGAACAGCCACCCTTAGAGGTGGATGATTTTGTTCAACATTAACCCTCTTTCCAACAAAAAAAGAATCATGAAAATCGGTTCACAAATACCGAAGTTATCGCGTAACATACATACAAAAAACATACAGTCGAATTGAGAACCTCCTCCTTTTTTTGAAGTCGGTTAAAAATATGCAAAATTTAAATTTGTTTGCTAATTGGTTACTAAAAATTTAATTTTTAAAGGGCTTGTAATGGCATAAAAAAGGGCATAAGGGACAACACTAGGTTAAAAAAAATACATGACAGTTCACAAGATGTCACCGAGTGTTTCATTTTTCCTTATTTTTAACCGATTTCAAAAAAAGAGGAGGTTCTGAATTCGACTGTGTTTTTTTTTTTTTTTTTTTTTTTTTTTGTATGTATGTTATGCGATAACTCCGGTATTTGTCAACCGGAATTTTCATGATTCTTTTTCTGTTGGAAAGGGGGTACTTCTATAGTGGTCCCATTTCATTTTGAAGAAAATCATCTCCCTCTAAGGGTGGCTGTTCACGCATGAAGATTCATTTCTATAAATAGCGCCTAACTTTAATTTAGGAGCATTTACTTTAACGGTTGATTTTGCTATTTCTCCAATTCAAGGCGTTTTTCTCTCAATATTCTTTCAGTAGTGAAAACCAATTTTTATTATCTCCAGTGTCAAGTCCTGTATAGTGGCGAATTTAAGGATATTTCAATAAAACTTGGCAAATAGACGTAATTCCACGTACTTTTGAGGTCGGTTTTTTTAGTACTCTGTACTGAGATTATTAAATAATGAGTTTTAGATTTTATACGATCCGGTGAAAGACATTTTGATCGTGTAACGAATTAGGACACTCTTTAGACAATATCCTTATGACTATCTTATATTTTTTGTAAGTCCGTTATGTAATAGTAAAACATTTGACCCAACAAAACAATTTTGACTGTTACAAGTGAATTGGGCGGCCTGATAATACTTTCGTTTTTGGTTTAGGTTCGTTCCTCTACGGCCTGAGTTCAAACAACTAATAATAGTAGATTTTACTTACACCACAAAGTGAATATAGGCGACATGATCATCATCCTGTGAGTCGATCCTTATGTATATCGTATATATTTTTTGCAAGTTTATTATTTAGTAGTAAATACGTAATCCATTTGACCTAGATAGTAAAACGCGCGATTGCATCGCTACACTTGCGATTGAAAGGCGTTTGCATCAATGCAAATGCGTGACAGCATCGATACAAACGCGCCATTGCGTTTACATCGCTGTTTAAAATCGTGCGCGTGTGTAAGGGCGCGTGTACACACTAAGAAATTCAACGTGTCTGCTACAGAAAAGATGAGAATGGTTTTTTAGACGGCAAGAAGTTTGTCTGATCTAGCCACGAAAACGTGTCGTGTGTGTTGCAGACGAGAAAATTATGATTAAGTACACGATACGAATGCTCTCGGACAGACGTGTGTACGGTAAACTGTGTCAGTGCATTACGAGTCTTCCAAGTAGCTGTCGTTTTACTACCGACTTTATGAAGAATGTTGACTACTAAGCAATACCCGTCCACGCGCATAAACCTTCGTTTACCTAATACACCTCTAATATATAAATATTTACTGCGAGGTGCATTGTATCCCGCCCCATACAATAGCGGCAGAGCGCGTCGTGTCGGGGGTAGACAAGATTTCTTATCCGGCGCCGAAGCAGGTGTACACAGTTCGTGTGTAGAAACGACACAAATTCGGCCATAGGCCCGGCGACTTTTCGTAGAGTGAACACGCGCCCTAAAGGTAAACGATTAGCGACTGAACGCCGACGTGTGTAACAGCTCTAAGGGTTAACATTTCTTCAGTAATGCGCAACGTTACTTACTGCAATTACAACCAGGAACGGCCCAATAATGCGTTCTAAAATTTTTAAACGTGACATAGTGGTTATCCAGACTCCTGTGCTTTTACTTCTTTTAGCTTTTCTATACATCAATTCATGTTCCGCTCTGTTATTTAAAAAAGGAATAAATTAAATATTTTTCCGTCTTTTTAAATTAACACATATTGAAAGCAAATTTTTCTGGGTATCGTATTTTCCGTCTCACATCGTGATCACGAACTGTAACTATAGCACGCAAACCTACTACTACTACTACATAAAGCAAGACGCTATCTGCACAGTCATAAATGTGTGCGTGAAGTGGCAGGCATCTAGAGGTGGGCGTTTAAACGAAAAACACTTAAAAAAGTCTGCTTTTTAAAATAAGCGCATAAGCACGCTTTTCATTTTAAGCGTAAGCGTTGGTCTATGCGCTTAAACGTTTTTCTAAACGACTTTTTAAGCGTCAAAGTAAAAAGCGTGTGAAAAGCGCTTTTACAAGCACGCTTTTTAAATGCACGTTTTAACGTTAAAAAAATAAGCAGTTTTTTCCATTTCAACGGTTAAACAACTTATGTTTTTGAACGCTTTTAAACGCCAACGAACAAAATGTTAATAGAAACATGTTATGTCATAAATAAAAATATAACTCGTTTTTTTACAAAAAAACTTACTTATCTTAAAACCTTTAGTGGTCTACTTTTGCTTTTCGCTATCAACACAACGTTGCAAGCTTTTTTAACGTAAAAGTCCATGCGCTTAAACGATTTTGTTGGCTTCAAACTAAAAAGTGTTTAAGTGGAAAAGCGTTTAAAAAAGCACGCTTTTTCTAAAAAAGCATAACGTTTAAACGTTTAAAAAACTAAGCAGTTTTTCCCATCTCTACAGGCATCACTTTCTCGTACGTGGTAAGCGCGGCAATATAGCGAAAATTTTTATGCGAATCTGTTATCTGTAGTTATATTAATGGAATCCTAATAATTACACATGTTCATATCAATATTATATTATATTTATCTTTTTTCTTGTATAATATCAAGAGACGGTACGAACCAGATGTTGCGCTTGATGTTAAGCCACACTCGAGTCCATAATACTTGCAGTACTACTCAGAGCTTTAAATCGAAACAAAAAAATTCTGAGGAGCGCCTCCACTGCGCCCGTCACACTGAGACATAAGTTGACAAGTCCCATGTGCCTGTAATTTTACCCTTCAAAACCGGAACACAGTAATGCTGACATTATTTCTTGGCGGCAGAAATAGGTAAGGTGGGAGTACTGCCCTGGACGAACTCTTTCACAATGAGCTCTACTGCTACTAAATTACTAAATTTACTAACTAGAATAATCATGAAGGTTTATTAAGAAACAATTAAAAGCGCCTAAAATGTTGCATTTTCGACATGTACGTCTAAATAAGGTTACCAAGGTATTTGAAATTGCGTGTCCAACTTTATCAATCATTAATTCGTTAATAATTATTTAAACTACATATTTATCGGCAATACAAATTGAAAATTCGAGAGCCTTTGACTACTATATTACATCTCATTATATTGATATAATAAATCTGTAGTCTGCACTAAAAAAATGAAGAAAACAATAACTGAACGAGTATCAGACATAAGTTTTTATACTGAACTCGTTTCATCTTTCGGAAAACAAAAGAAACTCCTCTCTTTATCCCGTTTAATCTACAATAAACAGCCGCACACAGCACAATTCACGATCATTATATATAGTAACGTACAATGATGTTATACATTAACGTA